AGGTCCTCCTGTCCAGCTTGCCCTCCGACCTCGGACCCCCTCCGAGGCTGGGTGCCGTTTCTGTTTCTGCTTGGTGGGCCACCTCTGTTGGAGAGGCACCATCTAATGAGGCAGCCCTTTCCCTTCTGTACCCTCCGGGTGTCAGGTACGTTGCTTGCCTTGACATAGTCTGGTCACTTAGCCTCTGCTCAGGGATCTGGGATCTGGGGTCTGGAGCCACCCAGAGCAGCTCCACCCCATGCAAAAGGCAGGAGGCGTCCTTCACTTATTTGGAGCCCACCGTGTGCCTCCCCAAAGTTCAGTTTCCTATTGAAGCCTCCCAGCGCCCCAGGGACCGTCTGGAATGGCAGCTGGCACCCTCACCTGCTGAGCACCCCACCTGCTGAGCACCCCATGGGTTGGCTCTGGGTCTGCGCCTCCTGCAGCTGGAGCCCCGCCTACCCGCCCTGTCCTTCAGTCCTTGCATCTCGCTGTTCTGTTTTCCCCCTCAGCCCAGCTCACTTCTTGAGGCTGTGGTTTTGTTTGCCCTCCGCCTCCTCCTGTTGGGTTCCTCTGTGGGCCTCAGCCCTTGCTGCTGCCAGGTCTTGCTTGGAGTTTCTTATTAGCCTTCCAGTCAGGTGGTCTCCCTCTGTGTCCCCCTCCCTTTCACTGGTGCTACCTGAGGCCTGGTGGTTAAGACAGATGAGAGCTGGCTGGGGGCACGTGCCTATAATCCCATCACTTCGGGAGGCTGAGGCGGGAGGATCACAAGTTCAGCATCAGACTAGGCCACCTACTTAGCAAGACTGTCTCAAAGGAAGGGCAGAGCAGGTGGCTCGATGGTAGAGCACCCCTGGGTTCAGGTTCTGGTACTTCAAGAAAAGGCATAGAAAAACACTCATAGACGTGAGCTTGCTTGCCCTGTGTCCGCTCAGAAATCCCTCATGGTTTCTGTGACATTGCCCACAGGCTGGACCCCTTACTTAGGGATATGTGACAATGAGACCTTCCCAGAGTGCCTGGGCTCTGCTTTGTAGCCTGGCTCCTTCCCTCTGCTCCAGTTCTGAAAAGACGGGGACAGTTTTTCCTCTTTGCCAAAGAGACCTGCTGTCCTTTGGAAGGTTCTGGACCCCCCCCCCCCTCAATCACACACACCATACAGTCTGTCTTTCTAGCACTGTCCTTCACATTCTTGTCCAGTTTTATCCCAAAGGCTCCTCTGGTCATTCCCTCTGTTGTTCCCAGGGTGTAGAAACATCCCTAGGGCTTAGATGCCTGTGCATGTTGGTGTCCTGCCTGAGGACAGCAGGCTTGGCCCGGTCAGTGGAGCTCGCTGTCCTTGCCTGAGCTTCGCGATTAAACCCTCAGCTGGGCCCCGGAGAGCCTCCTGGAATGAGGTGCTGGGGTTGAGCCCAGGGATTTGCCCATGTGAGGAAGCTCTCTGCCATTGAGCTACGTCCCCACCTCTTTCTGTTTTGGGACAGGGTCTCACTAGGTTGCCCAGGCTGGCCTGGAATGTGGCAGTCCTGCCTCTGCCTCCCGGGTAGCTAGGATGACAGGTGTCTGCCACCGCATCTGACTTGGCAAGAGAATTTTGTGTGTAAGTACATTTTCCCAGTCTGACCCACTGTTTGATTCCTTCAGGGGACAGCACTCCTGAGAAGTGAGCCGGTAGCTTGGAGCAGCAGGCCCTGAGCCGTGGCTTCAGCCTGCGTTGCCCTCCCCAGCCCAGCGGTCATCTGCTCACATGTGTCAGCTTGTCTCGGGATCTGTCTGTGGCGTGCCACAGGCTGCCGTCTTTACAGGCATCTGTGCAGTCTGGCTTTAGGCTAGAGGTAGACGGGCAAGTCTTGCTAAGAACTGAGTTTCCAGAGTTGGGATTTAAGCCTTGTTCTCCAGGGTCCCGTGGGATCTGTTTCAGGTTGTCCAAGACTCCGTGCATACATTCCATTTCTCGCCACTGTGCAGAGGTCATTGAACCTTTGGGATTGAACAAGACAGTGGGCTTGTGTTAGCTGGACCGGGGCTATTTAAGATTGGTTTTAGTCCAGAATGTCCTGTCCAAAACAGATAACAAAGCTATAAAGCTGTGATTGAAGATGATACTGTATCGAGTTCCTAGAAGAAATAACTTACAAAGTATTCTTTTTCTGTTTTTGTGTTACTGGGAATGAATCCAGGGGTGCTCTACTACTCAGCTACATTCCTGCTCCTTTTTATTAATTTATTCATTTGTTATTTTTCTTTTTTTGGAACCAGGGACTGAACTGGAGCACTCAACCACTGAGCCACATCCCCAGCCCCATTTTGTATTTTATTTAGAGACAGCGTCTCACCGAGTGACTTAGGGCTTTGCTTAGGGCCTTGCTGAGGCTGGCTTTGAACTCAACATCTTCCTGCCTCAGCCTCCCGAGTTGCTGGGATTACACACTTGTGCCACAACGCTCAGTTGATAGTGAGTTTTGTTCCTGAAAAGCTGATTGATTTTAGCCAGTAGGAGCCAGTTTCCGGCTGAAAGGTTGGGGAGAACAGTGGGTCAGAGTTGTATTGCCCAAGCCTTGGTGAGCGTGAAGAATGGCAGTCCCCTGCCCCTCCCTCCCCCGCAGTCCTGCTCCTGTCTCTGGTGTCTTGAACTCATCTGCTGGTTCCCTCTCTGCCACTGGGCATTCCTTTGCCTGGAGACCTATTTTGGTAGCTCCTGTCTGTTACTGGGTCAGAACCGGGCAGTGTGTCTTGCTGGGTGCTTTTCAGGAGTCCTGGGAGCCCATGTCTGAGATGGCCTGGGGGGAGCTCCTGGGTCTTGGGGCTCCTGTTTGTGCAGTCTCCCACCCTGCGCTCCCCGGCACCCTTCACCCTCGTGACGTGCCCCCACCACACCCACTTCCCTGCACCTGGCACAGCCCCATGTGACATTACTGGTTAGCCTCACTCCTGTGCGCCATCTGGGGGGCCCGCTGCTGTTTGGAATCCAGCATTTACCCACAGTCACCAGAATCCAAACCAACAGTTGAGGTTGTCACCTGGTTGCCTTTGTGGTTTGGCTCCCTGGGGACAGGGAGGACTGTAACCTGGGCGGCAGGTTTGTAACTCATTTGCTGATATTCACAGGGGTGCAGGTGATCTGGCTTGAGCTTTTGGGGGGACCTAAGTCTTTGCACTAGTAGCTCATGTAAGTAGTAATGGAGTATTTGTTCCCTTTGCTCCCGGAGGAAGAACCTGCCCCCACTGCTGTGTGCCTGCCCCGTGGCCCACCCTCTCGCTGGCCGGCCACCCTCTCGCTGGCCTGCAGGCAAGAAGCTGCACGCAGATGGCTCAGTGGTTCTCTCCTGGGTGGCTCTGGGGCTTTCCTCTTAGGCTTGGGCCAAGTGTCTTCTGTTTACAACAGACGCTGGTTCAAGCATGATGTCTGTGGGATTTGGCCTCTGCGCCATCCCATCGTGCTCTAGTGTAGTCGGATGGCGTCCATTCTTGTCTACCTGAGGAGGTGGCTCCGAGGGAGACGAGAATCGGAGCATTTCCCCAGTCTGTGGTTCTGAAATCCAGGGTGGTCTCCATCTATGTTAGCGTGTGTACTCTCAAGGTAGTTTATAAAACATGTTAAAAATATTCCACATTGTGCCTAGTGAGCGTGAAACCTGGCGTCCATGCCCAGTGGCATTGGGAGTTAAGAACATAGTTCACGGGGCTGGGGTTGTGGCTCAGCGGTATAGAGTGCTTGCCTAGCGCATGTGAGGCCCTGGGTTCAATCCTCAGCACCACACAAAACTAAATAAAAACAAAGGTGTACAACTAAGAAAAAAAAATGTAAATCATCACCTTTAAAAAACAAAGAAGAAGAAGAACATAATTCAGCTAGCCAGCCTGCTTTATTTTCTTATCTTTATACAACTCGTGTAGTCATGGCTTTGAATTTTTTTCTTTCATATATTTCATCTTTGCAATTGTGTTTGTCAGCTATGTAACAATAGTTACATACAATTAGTTACAAACAGTAGTTTAGTAATGATAAGGTTTAGCCATTTAGGTTACATCTGCATGTTTTTAACATTGTAAATGGCACTCAAATATATTTATGCATATTTTGCCTCTTAAATTATTGTGGCTTCTTAATGTTCGTGTGTGTGTGTGTGTGTGTGTGTGTGTGTGTGTGCGTGTGTGCATGTGTGTTGCTGGGGATTGGACTCCAGGACTCACACAGGCTAGGCCACCGCTCCTGGATTTGCTTTTTGAAGAGGGATCTTCCCCCTAGTAAATCTTGTACATTCAGCAGTCACATTGCTGATGGCCCTAGAAGAAACTTTTACTGTAAACTTCTCACTGTTGTTACATAGGTTTTCCCCCAATTTGGCTAGCTTAGCTTTAAAATGTGGCCCTGACCTGCATTCTTTGGTCCCTGGTCATGTTGGGTCTTCTGTCTTTTCTTAGCTCTCTGTGCCTGGGTTCTGCGGGAGGCCTTTCCCGGGCACAGCAACAGGTGACACTCCACGCCCCTGGTTTTGGATGGACTTGTGATTTTTTTGATACCCAGGTGGCTTGTGCAGCCTTATTTCCTGCTAGTAAATTTGTTTATGTGCAAAGACTCAATAGAATGAGATTAATGAAAGTGCTCTTGAACTTGAACAACTCTAAGAATCCTTATTTGATGTAACAAGGTTGATCTGGTTTTCACTGCCCCTTTTATTGTGTTTCAGTTTTTCATTTTATGGTTTTCAGTCTGCAGGGTTAGGGTCAGTCTTCATCAGTTTTTCCTCCTGCGGTATCTTTCATTACTTATGGAAACTTACTAAGATTGAAAGGGTGAAAGGGCCTGAACCCCAATACTGTTTCAGTGTTTGGAGAGGATTAGCTGGGTGCGTCCCTCCAGCCTGGTGATCCGTGACCAGCTCCGTTTCTCGTCTGGACAGACAAGCAGCAGTGTGTTTTGTGTTCTGTAGGCTGGGGAGGGGGCAGGCACGTGTCCTGCGGCAGGCCGGGGCCGGAGTAAGCCAGGTGCCACCTCCGGATGTTGGTTTTTCTTTCAGCTCTAGCCGGCCCCGTCCCAGACCTGAGAAAATGCTCCGGGGGCTCAGCCGTGCTGTGCCAGGACCTCAAGACGGCGGTGGACTGCAGGGCTCTGAAGCACTGTCAGCAGACCGTGTGGAGCAAGCCCACAGTGGTGAGCGCCTTGCCCAGGTGGCCTGCCCTGCCTTCCCTCCTCCAGATCCTCCCTCCAGATCCTCCGAGCACCTCCTCTCCCCTTGTGTGCTTGCCCTTCATCATACCCTGTGTGGGAGGCAGGGCCTGTCAGGTCTGTTACTGCCTGATTCACTAGGAAGTGAACAGGGTTCCGTTCCCCCAGGTCATGCCGTCTTTTGGTGACCCTGTGGGCCACTCTGTAGGTTCCACTTCCCACCTTAGATAAGGGTCCCCTGGGCACGTGGGCATAGCTCATCCTTTGTCACTCCACAAATATGTGCTAAACTTTTCAGGTCTTCCCATTTCATATTTCCCCTAAACCCTCTCAAACAGGCAAACCACAGATTGAGATCCTAGAGCTTAGTAGCAGCTTAAAACTTTATTTCCAACTACAGCCACAGTGGGAAAGATACCACTGGTTTTTCATTTAAATGATGTTAAATGCAGCATTTTAATGTGGGACTCTGAGAAATAGCGAGACCACAAACCTCGTGTGCATTCTTCATGCCACCTAACACACTGAGGCCAAGCTCTGCTGGCTGCACCAGTAGAATGTGACCCTGCTCCTGGCCCATTCTGGGATGTGCTGTGTCACACGGTACAGGCTGTGTGTGATGAGTGGATTTTTAATTCCAAACTAGTCAGTGGCCACTAGTGTTTCTTCAGTAAAAGCAAAATACCTGATTAAATAACACTGTTCTTTCAGAAATAGTTTCTAAATTATTTATTGCAAATTGTCTTCTGTGGCCAAAACTACTCTTTGAAAGCAAATTAGAAACCAAATCAATCTTGTTTTGAACACTGCTTCCTCTTTTTCTGAGTTTCATGTGTTTTATGTGAGGACTTCAGAACTTGCTTGACTGGATAGTCTCCTGGGTGCCGGGCTCTCTTTTGTTACACCCTCAAGCACAGTAATGGCTGACTAGGTCTAAAGGTTCAGATTGGTTTCTCTGAACTCAGCTGAGCTTACAGGTGTCCCATAATCTCATCCAGACATGTTAGCCTGTTCTGCAAGGGTTGACAGTTGACATCGAGAAGGGAGCCTGTGGGTGCCTCCTTCAGAGCTGTGAGAACCAACTAGAATTTCCGTGGCTGCTGGGCCTGGTGGTGCCCAGGTTTGTTAGGAGGCTGGGTTTGGTGTAGGGCCTAACTGAGCAGAAGGTGATCAGGTGCCAGTGGAATGTACAGCAGCATAGTAACTGGCTGGCGCTGGCGTCCCCGCTCTACCCACTGTGGGATATGGTCAAAACCCACCATTTCATCTTTCTGAGCTGTTTATTCAGAGCAGTTGTGAGCATTCATTTGAAATTGACTTATAGCACCTGAATTGAGCAGAGTGCTAGAGGGGAGAGGGGACAGGAAAGGGTTTCTGGGAATCACAGAGTGTTCTCCTCAGTTCACCTGTCCTTCCCTGTGCTGTCCAGGTCTCCTCGTGTACACGGCGGGCACCAGGATTGACAGTGGCCTTGACCATAGGCTGGTTATTAGGTAGAATAGGAAAAAGGCCGTGAGGGTTTCCGGCTGTGGGGGGTGTGAATTGTGACCTGCAAATAACATCTCGGCCTCATGTTCTTTCCTTTTAGAAATCCCTTCCGTGTGACATATGCAAACTGGTCATCACCGAGGCTGGCGACGTGCTGAAAAACAATGCCACTGAGGTGAGTGGGGACTGGAGTGGGCTTGGCCTCGTGCCCGGGTTCCTCAGAAGAGCTGTGACTGAGGATTGTCTAGGGCTGGCAGATGTCTTCGGTAAAGGGCCAGTAGGAAGGATTTTAAGCCTTACAGGCCACATACTGTTTCTGTCACGTAGTGTTTTTGTAAACCACTTTAAAAATGTAGGTCTGTTTTTTGTGTGAGGCTGAACGCAGTAGGGGAAGGGCCCGGCTTGCTGACCCCCGGACTACAGATTAAATACCCGAGATCGATTGGGGTCTGATATGCCTGTCAGCGTCCAGCTTGGCCCTGGCTCGCCTTCACTGTCCTCTGCTCAGAATTTTCTGTGCCTATAAGACCACAGGTCAAAGGATCTTTGCTTTGAATTTTGATGCCATGAAGCATGAGGTGGCTTGCCTGATAGACCCCTGGGCCACCACTAGCTCTTCTCGGGCCCTCTTCCCCGAGGCCTGGCTGATTTGCAGGCTTGCTTTTCCTTCTTGCCTTCAGCCATTTGCAGGGAAGAGGCCTGTTCTGATTCTGACCTTGCCATTGTCCCCTGGCAGGAGGAGATCCTCACTTACCTGGAGAAGTTGTGCGACTGGCTTCCTAACACGAACCTGTCGGCCAGGTGCAAGAAGATGGTCGACTCTAACCTCCCCGTCATCCTGGACTTGATTAAAGGGGAAATGGTAAGTGAAGGGGAACAGGCTCTTCTTTCTAGGTGCTTCTAGGGCCCAGAGGAGATAGTGGCCCAGAGCAGTGATTCAGTTGGGAAGTCTCTTTGTGGCTTTGTATTTTTTTGAGGAGCTTTTCGTTTTGATTCTGCCGTTCAGAAGAACTCTGGCACAGCAGCCCCTGTGGCCTGCCAAGGTTGGTGAGGGGCAGCAGATGGGCTGCTGTGAACCAGCTAATGTTTACATGTACCGGTGGAGTAACTCCTGTCATCTTTGGAGCAAACAAATACTTTCATTTCTCTGAATCTCTGTGAATTTATAATTTAAGGGGGTTCAGCGGCGAGGGTTCAGCCTTCACCTATCAGGTACGGATTGTGCAGAAGCCACGTGCTGGAGGCTGTGTTTTAAAGGCCCTGAGAAGGGCAAGTGCTTAAGAAACCGTGGAGGGCCAGCAGGGCAGGAGTGTCCTGAGACAGGACGTGGTTTTGGTGAGGAAGGCAGAGGTCACATTGTGGAGGCCCTTCCAGGCTGTGTCCCAAAAGGCTCCGTCCAGGTCCCATAGCCAGGAGTGGCAGCAGGGGACTCAGGCAGGACACTGTGAAGGTTCTGGCAATGTGAGTGGGGGTTGGGGGATGGACAGGGGCAGATGCACATTCTGGAGGGCGAATGGGCCGGCCTTGGCCATGGAGGGGGTGTACAGGAGAGAAGAGTTAAGAGTGTCTCCAGCTCTCTGGGAAGATGGGGGTGGGGGTGGAGAGGGGAGCAAGGGGAGCAGGTAGGGCAGGATGGAATTGGAAGGGTTGGAGATGTCCCCATGGTGGGAGTGTGTGTGTGTGGGCGTGCGTGCATCATGGTGTGAGTGTGCACCCGGAAAGTGTGTAGAACCAGTGCGTGGCAGTAGCGTGTGGGGGCGTGGCTCAGAGTTGCCGATCTTTCTTTAAAAAGGAAGAGCTGACAGTGAGTGGCGGTCACAGTCCAGGAGCCCACGGCTACTGTGTGGTGGGCGCACGGCTTGAATTTATTTCCTTCCTTCCTTCCATCGTTCCTCCCTTCCTCTTTCCCTCCTTCCTTTCTTTTTCCTTTGGTTTTGTGCCGTGCTGGGTACGCGCAAGGCCTCCGGGTGTTAGCTGGGCGGGGCTGCGGCTTTCGTGGCCTTCCCAGGGGAACGGAGCAGCCGGGTGGCCCGTGTCTTCCTTTTCTTCCTGAGTTTCCGCGTGTGGGGGTCCTGCCCAGCCTCACACACGCCGTGCACACACTCTTCCAGGAGCCACATCCTGGCCCCTGTTGTTCCTGTGTAAGGGACTTGGGGCGAGGGACTGATTCCTAGGCACTCGGTGGCCTGTTCTGTCCCCCTGTGGGGAGGGAGCTTTCAGCCGGCTCTCCTTCCCCCAGAGCCGTCCAGAGGAGGTGTGCTCGTCCCTCAACCTCTGCGAGTCTCTTCAGAAGCACCTGGCAGAGCTGAGCCACCAGAAGCAGCTGGAGGCCAACAAGATCCCGGAAATGGACATGACTGAGGTGGTGGCGCCCTTTATGGCCAACATCCCCCTCCTCCTGTACCCACAGGATGGCCCCCAGAGCAAGCCCCAGCCAAAGGTAAGGCGGGTGGGGCTGGCCCTGGGGACCCTTTGGGGGCAAGGTAGAGTCAGGGATGTGTGAGGGGTGGTTCGTGAGTGTGTGTGGGTGTGTGAGATGAGGTAGGAGGGGCGGCGCGTAATGTTCCTCAAACTGAGTCTTGTCCTTTCGCCTGACTCTGCCGGTACCAGGCAGCCCTTAGGTGGGGTACGATGCAGTCTCTAAAGATGGGATGCAGAAGTGTCCCCCTTTTGTTTAGTGGTGCTGGGGTTGGAGGCCATGTTCTGTATGTGCCAAGCATGTGCTTGACCCTAGGCTGCACCAGGCCTCCCCAGTCTGTTGCTTCAGTGAATCCTGAGTTGACTTTAAACCTACTGGTACTTGTAGAGCCTCTTAAAAACCCATCAGGAGCTGCCCGGTGGTGGCCCCCAGTGCTGTGGCCTGGGCAGGGGAAGACTCTGCAGGAGTCGGTCCTCCGCCACAGAGCTGCGTCCTAACTGTCCTCTCTCTAGGCCAGTGGAGACGTCTGCCAGGACTGCATGCAGATGGTGACCGACATCCAGACAGCCGTGAGGACCAATTCCACCTTTGTGGAGGGCTTGGTGGAGCATGCCAAGGAGGAGTGTGACCGCCTGGGGCCTGGCATGGCTGACATGGTGAGTGTGCCCCTCCCTGCTGTGAAGACGTCCTGGCCCCGGGAGCTAGGCTCTGGAGACGGGAGTGGGGCACCAAGAGAGCAGATCGTTGCTGCCGCCATAGAGTTGGGAATTTCAGCCTGACTGCTGTGAGTTGAGGCGCTTCAAATAATCCCTCTCTGTTTTTCCCAGCTGCTTGAGTGGGGACCTTACATACACTTCGGGTAGTTGAATCTGCAGATAATAGAAAATGATGGAAGAACACTGCTTTTGTCCAACTTTGCCTTCTTCCTGTCACGTGCCTATTACAAATGCTCAGGGCCGGCTGTTGAAAGAGCCTGGTGGTTCTGCGAGCGCCCACCTGGTGAGCCAGCCTACACGGCGCCCACCTGGAGGCCTGGGTTCTGTGGGCTCGGCACCCCACTCTGTTAGTTCCTTTGGTGGTTTCATTCCTTGGACCCAATTTCCATTATTAAATTCGCTCATGAAATTGATGTGGAAAACCAAAACCCAAGTTAGTACCCGAGTGGCCTCTGAAACCTTTGTGGGGGAGGCCGTTGGGATTTTGCTCTGGGTTCCAGCGTGGCCTTCCTGGGTGGAGCCCTGTCGGTGGCCTGGCTCTCTAGGGCTGTCAGCCAGGGGAGCAGTCTTTTTATCTTCTCATTATGAAAGCCTGGGAATCAGTTTGCAGTTGCTGTTGTAGGTGGTTTCTCAGGTAAACCCTCACCTAGGGCTGTTCGCGTTACCCTTGGTGTCTAGGGAGAAGCGAGCACTAGCTTAGTGTGGCAGGAGCTGTTCTGAGAGGGGCTGCTTCAGTGCCTCGCTTCGTATGAAATCAGGCCATTGAAAATCATTCTTGATTCGTCTGGATTTAAATTTTATAACCAGCCCTGTCTGAGAATGTGAAAAGGTTTCAAGAGTGACCTTGGATTCCTCATCAGTGGGTCTGTAACTGCGTTCTCTCCCAACTGCAAACTGCTAGGGAGCAACTTTTGAACGTTGGGGCAAATTGGCGGTAAATAGAGAAAGACAAAATCTCTTTAGTTCTTTTGGTAAACAGTTTCAGAACACATTCTCTGTTTTCTGTAAGTTATAAAATAACGTCACTTTTATCTCATTAAAGTTTGTTCTGAGCAGATTATAAAATTCTATAGGAATTTTTTTAGGGGTGATACAGGGATTGAACCCAGGGGTGTTTAAGCAGTGAGCCACATCCCCAACTCTTTTAAAAATATTTTATTTAGAGACAGGGTCTCTGAGTTGCTTAGGGCCTCGCTAAATTTCTGAGACTGGCTTTAAACTCAAAATCCTCCTGCCTCAGCCTCCCGAGCCACTGGGATTACAGGTATGCACCACCGTGCCTGGCTCTATCGATAGAAATCTTGATAATCAGCAGTTAGCACTATTGAAAAGGCTAGTTTGGATTTTTGGTTCTTTGCTGCAGTAATTAATTTAACTGAAGAACTGTTTCTCTCTCTCCAGTGCAAGAACTATATCAGCCAGTACTCTGAAATCGCCATCCAGATGATGATGCACATGGTAGGTGGCAGGAGAGTCCTTGGTTAGCATTTTTGTCCTAAATGTTGCTATTTCCAGATACAGTTTAGGTTCTTTCTTTCTTTCCTTTTTTTTTTTTTTTTTTTAATTCTCAAAATACTGAATTGAGGCCAGAAAGAACCCTCTTTGACCAGCAGGCTCTCCACTTCAATCTCAGTCCACCCCCACCCACCCACCTAAGAAAGGCTGAAGGAAGAAGCTTGATCCCAGGACTGCCTGCTGGTGGCCTGCCTGCTGGCCTGTGCACCCGCGAGCTGGCCGTCAGATTGCTAGTATCTGGCTTTAGCCCTGGGATCTGCAGTACTTTGCTCTCTAGACCAACCCCGAGCATTGCCGCCATGCAGCCTGAGTTTGGAGCTGGGGAGGGTGGGAATCCTGCCTGGTGGAGTGGGCCCTTTGCCCTCGAGTGGGGTCAGCTAGTGGCTGCTCAGGCTCTGACTCCTGCACTGGCGTCTCTTGGGTCCCGGTGACAGGGACATTTATTCCCTGTTAGACGTGGGAAGCGGGCTGGCTCCTCTGTGTTGGGACTGTCTTAAGAAGCTGGCTGGCCTGCAGCACGCTGAGCTGAGGAGCTGGCTTGGCCTTCCTGGATCTAATCTGAGGGCCAGAGCAGGGTGGGGTGCACTGTTCCCCTACGCTGCCTTTCTGCATCAGAATTGATGTCTGTCCTTGAGTTTGTTCCTAACACAGGGGTCCCTCACCTCTGGCCCTTCACAGAACAGATCAGTTCCCTTGGAACCCAGTGAAGCCCATTTGTGGCTGAGTCATTGCAGTTGAGACCCTTGACCCACAGAGCCTGGCAGGGTGACCATTGGGCCTGTTCTGCCTACTCCAGTCATCTGCCAAATAAGCCAGGCACAGCAGTTTATTTGGTATCTTCGCTCACGGCCTGCCTTGTAAAAATGTTTAAAGGCAAACGTTACAGAGACGTGCAGCTGAAGTAGGTGAAAATAAGCTTTCCATGTGACTCGACCTAATGAAGTACTTCCTTGTTGCTCACATGAATATTTTTCCTTATAAATACAGTGTAGAAAATTTTTTGAAAATACAGATAATACTTCACACAAAAATCATTTGCATTTTCATAAAAGTCTGTGGGGTCATTATTTATATATTGCTTTGTATTTTGTAGTTTGCATCCCTCTCCCGATTTATTGATCACTAAGTTATCTTTGTACAGGTGATTTCCATGTGACTGCTGCATATTAATTCACAGTATGGATCAAACAATCAGTGTGACCAGTCCCCTGTGGCTAGGCGTATAGGTTGTTTTCAGGTTTGCCCTTGGAATGAGAAACATCCTTAGTGCCAAATATATACCTATGCCCATCCCCATTCTTTCCCTTAGTGTGTGGGTCACTGAAGCTGGAATTGTTCACTCAAAGCTCAGGCTTTTAATAGGTAGTCAAATCTGCTGCCCAGGCCATCGCTGGCCCTAGGGTAGATTGCCCCAAGGCTAGGTGTGGCGAGTGGTGTGTTTATAACAACCTCCCACCCCCCACCCCCCACCCCCGCCAATTTGGGCAGCCCTGGTGTCCAGGTCCATTGTAATGCTCGTAACTAACCCGTGGGGAGGGCCCAGTGGGGTCAGACTCTGGAGGTGGAGACCCTTCACAGTGACTTTGCTGCACAGCATGATTTAGTATTGGTTGTAGGGACAGCACACACACTAGGTGGCCAGTGTGGTCTGTCCCAGGGCCAGAATAGCGTTTGGGGTCCATCAGGCTAATGGGACAGGTAGGTAGGTAGGTAGCAATGCCAGACTGCTGGGGTGGGCCCTTGGCTTCAGTGGTACCCCTAACCCCTGTTGGCTGCTTGATGATTTGTTGTTTTAATTTTTCTTAACTGTTGTATCCTTTCCTTTCCGTTGTTTCCATCTCCGATTTCCTGTTTTTTTTGTTCAACAGCAGGATCAGGTATGTGATGGAGAATTTGCTTGTAGTAGTGATCTGCTGCTTTTCCTAGTTATATTTTGCTTTATTTCTTTCTTTATTTTTGTTTAGCGTGGTATCTCTGACAGATACAAGGAATAGTTGCAAAAGGCAAGGGTCCCCCTCTCTGCCAGGCATCCTGCCCCTGAGTTCAGCATTTCAAGTGTTGGGGTCTCCCTCCTTCAAGGGGTCTGGAAAACAACAGAGTCTTGCCCTCTAGTCAGAATCAATATGTGGCATGCATGTATGCAGGCCACCAGCGTGCTGATGAGGAATCAGGGGTGGCCTCGGAGGCGCCTGGCCTCCGGCAGGACGCCTTGTGTCTGTCACAACACGAGTGGGCATTGCATGTCTTTAGTGCTGTCTTCATAATCCCGGATGCTGCTGCTGCATGAGCTAATTGGTCTTGCAAATGACACATTGTCCCCCTGTGTGTTGGATCCAGAGAATTGGAAACAATCTCTTGATTGTGGCTTCTGCCCTTCTGGGTGATGGATGGGGTCCTTTGGGTCTGGAGACACGTCAGATGGCCACTGTGGGAGCCACATCCACAGTCCACACTGGGGCCATTCTCAGCTTGGCCTCTTCCGAGCGCTGGGAAGCCTTTGGAAGTGTAATGGGAGAGCACTTGGGTTGGGACGCCTGGATTTCTGCCTCTGCTGCCTTGAGTCTGAACAAAGCTGATCCTGAGAGAAGAGCAGCCCCCCTCCCCCATCTTGGCACCTTTTTTTCCTTTAAAAAAAAAAAAAACTTGCTGTATCTTCAGCCTCACTCTGACATTTTTCTCCCCGTTTTTAAGGTGTGCCAAAGGGAAAGGATCTGGGATATTCTGTACCCAGGCCCCCAGCCCCACATTCTAGAGCTGTTTCAACAGCACCAGCTGCCGGTCTGTCTCTCTGGCCTCAGCAGGCTTGGGCTTGGAGCCTGGGCTTGGAGCCTGGGCTGACGGGTTTTGTGTGTGGTGGTGGTAGGCAGATGCCCACAGGCCCGGGGCTGGTGCTGGCTGCATTGGATTCACAGTTCACGGGGTCTGCATTCTTATTTTGGGCTTGGTCGTCATGGTGAAATGGTCAGGGTCTCCAAACTCTTTCCTTCTCTTGCCTAGTGTCCAGATGGTGTGTGGAGGGCTGGGTCTGAAGACCTTGTGATTTGAAATGATTCACCACCGTCGGGGTCGGGGTGGGCTCCTGTGTCCTGTGTGCAGTTGTGAACACAGAACGTGGATTTTAGAAAAGCCAACTTTCCCTTTAACATGTCGTTTTAAATGGTCCCGCCCCTGCAAGATCTGGTGTGCTTTCCTCCCCAGCATAGGCTTTCTGTTAGCTCGTGGGCACTGTGGTTTCCCCCTGGAATAAAGAAACTCTGCTGAGAATGAGTCCTCGGGGATGCTGAAGGCCGCGGGAGCCTCTGTTCCTTATGGTGGCCCTGACTAGAGCCGCACGATGGCTTCCTAGGGGTAGTTAGCTCACGTGCTCTGCTCCTGGACATGAGTCCTTCTCAGTTGAAGTTGAGTCTGGAATCCCTGCCAGTCAGGGTGGGTGGGGTCAGCCTTGACCCTGGGGCTGGGGTGCTCCTCAGCACCCCAACCCCGGTGTCTGGGGAGGGGCTGAGGTGGCGGCGTGGGCTCCGTCTGACTGCTGGTTCTGTGCCCTTTCAGCAACCCAAGGAGATCTGCGCGCTGGTTGGGTTCTGTGACGAGGTCAAGGAAGTGCCTCTGCAGACCCTGATTCCCGCCAGAGTGGCCTCCGAGAACGTCCTCCCTGCCCTGGAACTGATGGATCCCCTCGAGGTACCTGCTGTTACTGTGTGTGGACTATGGAACAGCTGGCCACTCCATGCTGTGTCACATCTAGGTGTCACACACTTTCTGTTCCCTGCCTGGCTCCTCTGCGTCTCATGGCTGTCCCCCGGCTGTCCCACCTCCTCCCTGGGCTGTGTTCCTGGGCCAAGGCCCTGGTGGTGGTTTCCAGATCCTGTGGGTTTTCAGTGCCAGCTCAGCCCTGACCTTTTCACGTGGACCTCCTGGGTCCTTCCCCACACTGGAGCCATCGTACCAAGTCTAGGCCGCCCTCCCAGGGCTTGTGCAGAAGCCTCATGGGGCCCACTGCTGGTACGTGGGTCAAGAGCCCACAGTGAACTTGAACCCAGCACTTCCTGTGGTCAGGTAGTATTCTAGGGCCATGATGCCCCTGTGCCCTCTGTTTCTTCTCTGTGTGGCTACAGAAAGGGTTGAGGTGTCGGATGGAATAAGGGGAGCTCAGCCTCCTGCTCCCAGAGGTGCTCCAAGCCCCTCACCCACCCTCCCCACCAAGTTCGCGGCCAGAGTGCACGGAGGAGCAGTACAGCGGTGACTGTTAACACGTGACCACTTAAATGTTTAAACCAAAGTTAGGCAAAATTCAACTTCAGGTCCCTTGTTCCGTCAGCTTCCTTGAGGCGTTCAGTAGACATTTGGAGCTGGTGCCTCTGTGCTGGACAGAGCACCTGGGTTGTCACGAGGTTCTACCCAGTAGTGTTATTACTTTATTAAAGGTAGCTTCTAGAAAAACAACCGCAGGTGTTAATGAGGTTTGGGAAAGTCAAAAGCAAACCTGAAATGGGGTTACAACTCTTGATTTCTAAATAGCTGTCAGATACAGTGACTCTCATTCTGTTCCCTGGCTGCCATCTGTCTCCCAAAGGGATGTGGAATGATGAAATATTAGAACCAGACACAAGAGCAGGGAGATAGCTCTTTGGGGTGAGGGAGGGGACTGCTTCTACCTTCTGAAATACACATTCCTGGATTTGGGGTGGTGTGGGAGTAGAGGAGGGGGGAAGGGCTGGATCGCCTGCTGTGTAAGCAGCAGCAGGACGTGGAACCCCAGATGTGGAGGAAGCCACGCATCCTTTTGCAGGGGCCCTTGGTGTGCTGCTAACCTGCCCTGGTCCCCGCAGCCCTCTGCAGCTTATAACAGCGGCAGTGGGAGCGAGGGCCTGAGTCCCAGCGTGAACGTGTGTCTCTCTTTGTCAACAGGAGGAGCTGATCCTGGCCCATGCTAACATGTTGTGCAAGGCGTGTCAATTCGTGGTGAAGAAGGTGGCCGACTTGATCAACAACAACAGCACCATGGTGCGTGGCCCTCCTGGAAGGATGCTCCAGCGGGAGAATTCAGCGGGGGAGAGGGATCTGGCCCCCCCTTACTTTTTTCCCCTTAACTCCTAGTATCCTAAGGGTGAACCCGGGCCTGGCATGTGCCATGCAAGCACTCTACCACTGAGCCATGGCCAGCTCCCCTCACTGGTTGGCACCAGCCTGGGATGTGCACGGCCACATCCTCTCCTCCAAAGGCTGTTTCCTCTGTGGGGCCCTCTCGGCTTGTTCTGCGGGCAGCTCTGGTCTTATTCTGTGTGGTCTTCCAAGGGAGGGACAGTGCCTCCTGTGGGCTGCTGTCCTCGTGTTTTCAGAGTCTCTCCCCTCCGCGCATGATTCTCTATGTTCCAGGAAAATCTCGCATGATTCTCTGTGTTCCAGGAAAAAATCGTCCATGCTTTGGATACGGCGTGCTCGATGCTGCCCAAGTCTGTGTCGACCGTGTGCCAGGAGGTGGTGGACACATACAGCGGGTACATCTTGTCAGTGCTTGAGGAGGAGCTGAACCCTGAGCAGGTGTGCAGAGAGCTCCGTCTCTGCTCCTCTGGCAAGGGCCAGCTCGAGATGATCGGCCGAATCGGACTGCCTGAGCTGCCCCCGCTGCCCAAGTCGCCTGCGCTGCCCAAGTCGCCTACACTGCCCGGTGAGCCCAGGGCACACGAGGCACAGGATGGCCCCTCCTGAGTCTGGAAGGACCCTGTCAGCATCAAGCCCTGTGTTCTCTTGTGTAGCCCGGGTGACTCCCCTGAAGGACGGTCCCTTCTGTGAGGTGTGCAAGAAGCTGGTCGGCTACTTGGAGCACAACCTGGAGAAGAACAGCACCAAGCAGGAGATCCTGTCCGCACTCGAGAAGGGCTGCAGCTTCCTGCCTGAGCCCTACCAGAAGCAGGTAGCAGGGGCTGGGGCAGCTCCCGCGGTGCCCCTGGAAGTGGAAGGAAGCAGACTGTGGCTGTCCCCGGCCTGGAGTTGGCTGGGCTGAGGGATGACCTGTTGATCTTCCTGGAGCTGCAGAGGGGCGGAGTCTGCTAGTGAGGGCAGAGGGTGGGCCTCAGGGAGGAGTCGCAGGGCCCACCGGCCTAGGAGTGACAGGGACTGGTGGAAGAGCGTGTCCATCTACTTAAACATGCTCAGACCTGGTCCTGTGTCCCCTTCTTACTTGGCAGTGTGACGAGTTTGTGACCGAGTATGAGCCCGTGCTGGTCGAGGTCCTCCTGGAGGTGATAGACCCGTCCTTTGTGTGCTCGGTAAGCCTCGCTGGGCCGCCTGGCCATCAGGGGAGCCGGGGGAGCGGGAGTGCAGGGGGGCCTCTAGCGCCATCGTTGCCCTCTTCACGGGTCTGAGAGCGTGTCCCCTTCCAGCTGCTTCCTGGAGCTGTTAATTTCGACTTTGGAAGGGGTGGGCTGGGCAGCTCCCGATTCTCCCCCCTTTTCCCCTGTAGAAAATCGGAGCCTGCTCCTCTGCCCGCAAGCTGCTCTTGGGAGCTGAGAGGTGTGTCTGGGGCCCCAGCTACTGGTGCCGGAACGCGGAGACGGCAGCCCAGTGTAATGTGAGTAGCTCGGCCGACCGCCTTCCAGTGGGTGGCCCCTTGGGAGTCCTGCTCTGATAGGGACCTCAGCGGTCAGCTCTCTACCCTGTCTTCTGTAAGTGCGGAAACCGCAGCCCAGAGAGGCAGTCAGGCCCCTCCTGAGTTGCCCAGCGAAGGCGGGCCCGCCTGCCTCTCATCCTCTGGGGTGAAGAGTGCTGGGTGTTCTCTGGTATGTCTGCTTTCCTGCTGTCATCAGTCCCCTCCTGATAGTGTCAGACCTTCATGGGGTCACTCCGGGAACCGCCAGGCCTCTGGGACTCATTGCCCAGACCCTTGCGTGGGTCCCCCCACCCCAGCACATTTGCCCTCCTGGAGCCTGGCCTGAGTCCTACCCAAGGCCAGCTGGAGGTCTTCTTGAATGGAGCCCCTGCCCAGCAGCCCCAGGACTCTGTGGGCACCATCCTGGCTGGGCAGCCACCGGTTGGGTGACCCATGCCACGTTCTGGGTGGGGATTTGTTCTGGCCTTGTTACTTTGTGTTCCTTTAACTTTTTCCTCCTCTCTGGGTTCCTTTTGACGGTTTCCCGGAGGAGTTATTATGGGTCACTGCAGGGAGAGGCCCACACCCGGACCTGTCCAGGTCCCCGCCCATGTGCACCATCACCCTGCCATCGGTGGGGGTAAAGGTGCCCGTGGTTAGAGACCTGAGCTGGGGTGTGCCATGGCTCGTGATGAGGTGGATTTGCCCTTGTGCAGCTGTGACACAGGTTCTTGGGGACCAGATGTCAGTAGTTGGAGTGGTCCTGGGCCCTGCCTGCTCCGGTGCTCATCTGCACTGCACTAAAGATTTTGCGTCTGCTGAACTGGGCTCTGGCCTTAGGAGGCGCCAAAGCTCCACTGGCCCCGTGTTCCTTGGTTTTGAATGAGGTCCTCGGCATCTGGTGTGAGCCACCAGACCTGGGACATGATGCCAGATCCTGGGTGATGTGCGATGTAATGGGCCAGGAATTGAGCCTGTCACCTGATCCCTGTTTCCTCTTTCCTCCCAGGCTGTCGAGCATTGCAAGCGTCACGTATGGAACTAGGATTCCATCTTGGAGAAGCCGTAGCCTGTTTCCCTCCTTGTGTGTCTGGGGTAACGAACGCACAGACCTGTCGGTCGTAAGAGCAGGACCCTCCTTTTGACCACCCCGATTTGTCTCCCTTATTGTAGCATTGCTGTCACGGGGGAGGTGTCTCCCCACCAACATAGCTGCTTCAGTGTCCCCTCTGCTGGGGGGACACACTGGCCTGAGGTCTTGAGCCACCCTCTCAGCAGGGGCCTTGTTCTGAGCCCTGACAGGCTTGGGTGCTGGTAGGTTTGTGCTTCTGAGGTCACTTCCTGTCCCCTTTCCTGCTGTACAGAGCAGCCAGAGGCAGTTCAGAAGAATTGGGTGTTTTAAATAATTCCTATGGGGGCAGTGCAGAGACCTTGGAAGCCGCTACTGGTGGCCAGTGGGTGCGGTGGCCCCAGGTTGACCCTTGTTTTTGCTTTCCTGTCTTTTCCTGGGGATACCTTGTTTAGGGTTCTGTGGGTTTGGGTTGGGAGGGGAAATTTCACCTGAATGTAACCTGCTGGCTGTACCTGGAGGTCCTGTGCACCGTGGCAACCGCTTGCTCAGTGTCTGCTGGAGTCCTGCTTCGTGCCTCTGCCCACCCCTGCCCCTGCTGTGGATTTTTTCTTTTTTTTTTAATTTTCCCTTTCAAATAAATGTGGATAACAGCTCCTAAGTCCCTGCTTGGTAGAGAGTGGCAGGCAGGGTCTGCTGGGTGTGGAGTGGGTACTATTGTCTGGGCTCGGCCGCTGCCTGTTTGGCCACCAAAGCTGTTCTACTTCTGGTTGCCAAGAGACAAGCAGAGCAGATGCTATGAAATGAACTTAGTGGTTTTCATTTGTTTTGCACTAAAATTTCTGTGATTTAACAATAAAGTTCTGTTAACCAGATCTGGGCTTGAGTGTATGATACCTCGCTAGAGGAGTTTGGTCTCTGCTGAGCTCCACGCCCCTGGTCCCTTCAGCACCCTTGGCCAGGAAAAGAAAGCAAAGTGGGTTCAAATTAAAACAAAGGCACTTGGTCCCCCCAAGTCGCAGGGCCAGCAGTGGGTCGGGGAGCACTTGAAGCCCAGGCCTGCCCTTCACCCCTGACCCCCATCTCAGGCCACACACAGGGAGGTTACCAGAGCCAGTGTATTGCCAGTCCTTTAAACAGACCATTCCAAAAACTTTTCAGTGAGTTCCAGTTCAACAAAACCAAGGGGAAAAATACTGAGGGAATAACTTAATTTAAAAAAGGAGCACACACACACTCCACATTCAGAACCCGAGGGAATGTCAGTCACTTCTCTATATGCTGGGCACATTGGGAAGCGAGTGAGATGGAGAGAATGCTTATTGAACTTGACCTTCTTGTCTGTCGGATCTAGACGGTCAGCAGTCACTGGGACTTGAAGTCGTGGCAGGCCAGCAGGGCTGCGGCTCTGGGTCTCTGTCCTGTGGCTGGACTCTTGCTGTGGCAGCCTGGCACACGGCCAGGGCAGAGCAGAAAGGGAGCCCCAGTGGCCTCAGCTGAGCTGGCCCCAGACTCCTGGGGGCCCCAGCAGCCCTCCTGACCTTGTCCTTAGATACTTAGCATTTTTGATTGGTTTTCTTAAAAAAATAACAAATTTTATGAAGATAGAGATCAGATGCTGGATGAGTGTCTGGCCAGAGTGGAATCTGAGCGCTGTGAGGCCAGCCGAGGCTGCCCACGTGGTGCTGGCCCCCGACGGGCCTTGTGCTGGCTGCTGCCCCGAGGGAGCGAGCCGTTGGGGCTGCTGCTCACACCCGCAAGTCTTCCGAGTGGGTCACAGCTCCGTGATCTCCAGGGGACTCTCCATGATCACGTCTCGAAGCTTGTGCAGGGGTGTGGATTTGGCGGATTCCGTGCGGGCGTTGCGCTCAAAGGCAGTGGCCTCTGCGGCGGTCAGCGTCTCCAGCGAGCGGCCCAGGCCCTTCTGGTCGTCCTCTGGCAGACTGTTGAGGTCGGTGGCCAGCAGTGTGCCTGTGCTGCCGTGCACCACATGGATCCCGTCGGGCCCCTTGAGCTCCACCGGTGGCTTGTGGCGGAAGCGCAGGCTGCCCTGGCCCGGGCTGCGGTCCCCAGGCTCCTCCTCCAGCTCCGTCTGGATGAGCTGCAAGAGGCCAGATCCCCAGTGGCTCAGCTCCCACAGCTCAGGGCCATGCAAGAGGCAGGAGAAGCCAGCCCCAGAGGCTGCCATCCAGGCCCCTCCCTGCCTCACACAGGGCCTCCCAGCTGGCCTTTGGCCTCCCACCACCCTCCAGACTGGGTGCGTGCACAGGGCACCGTGGTCATTTAAAATGCTTCGGCACATCCTCGGGGACATGGGCTCCTTGAGGAAACCTTCAGATGCCTGTCCTCACTTTAAACGTCCTGTGACACGGTGTGGTGTCTGGGCTTCTTATCAGGCTGGTTCCTGCGTGCCCAGCTCTGATAGTGACCAGGT